TTTTTTATGTACCATCTCATTGCTCTTGGTGTAAAGGTTGTTATCCATGTGGCACTGTTCATCATTGGGTTCCAGTATTCCAGCCATTTTTCCATCCCCAGCCATATGGAATCCAGCATCAGTGGTCAGCACAATCAGCCGAGTGCTGCTGTTCCGCCAGCCGATTTTGTTCTAATTGGCAATATGTATTGGGGAAATTTTAGGCAACTTCAAAAGCACAATTAAAGTACATTTCTAGCTTATTTGCAAAAAAGGAAATGAATGAATAGAAATGAATACTCACATGTCAGCACTTATTTTACCTATCTGTCTTTAACTTTTACGAACCTTGAAGTTTGTAAAACTCACTGGTAGTTAACATTGTTGCAAACACGTTGCTTATGAACATAACTTTTAAGACATAGGATTGCGTTTTAGTTTCAGTGCTTTGTCTTTGTTTCATTTCACATCATCTCCTAGAGTCTGCAGGCTTGACTACTGCTCATATAGCATATTTGCTTGTCAGTAAGTCAACATTATACAGTGATTTGTCTGACAAAAGTTTTTCTGTAGTTTGGTTTGATATCATTTTAGCTACTGTCATTCTGCATCATCTGAGACCTATTAAGGAAATATCATTCTGTTTGCTGTACATAAATGCCTGTATCTATTGACAACAATTCCTCAAAAAAAGACAGTCAATAGCAACATAACAGTTAAAGATTAATACTACAAACAAACTGCACCACCAAATGAGGATCAGCACACCAGTCAATTGGGTGTGTCAGCACCCTAATTAAGTACACATCATAGAATCCACAGAACACAGACATTAAACCAAATGGCTTCATTCCTTAAACCAAAATATGTCAAAGGAAAAAATATTGCCAACAGCTCTCACACCATGTTTGTGTAATATGCATAGAATGGAAATGGAAGATTAATGCTACCACCTTGATGTCACCCATTGGTTTGTGGGCTTTTGTTTGGAAGCCTTTGGTATTTTGGCTGTTCTTACTTTTTTTTTTTTTTTTTTTTTTAAATCAGATGTAACCATATTTGAATAAGAGGGCGAAGCCAGGTTCTCAGACAGAACAATCATAATTAACAGGTAACAGTTGTGCTGGCAAGCTTGGCCAGTGAGGTGCATCTGTAATTGAAAACTGAAACATGAACTGCAAAAATTCTGAGATGAAAAACATGGACAACAAGCTCATGGCCATTGGTACTGGCTTGGCAGGAACGTGCAAATCACAAGATAGTAGCGTCGTATGGCATACCTTGTTTTCTCATCTATTTTGCTCTAAATTACAAAATGAACATCATGCTGTATTGAAGATAACTTGAAACTAGTGATTGAGAACCTAAAACCATTAGAACAATGATTAATGAAGCAACAAATCAAATGACAAGTGGGGTCACTTGTACACTTCTATACAATTTCATTGGAAGCAGAGGATTCTTTAGATGAGCCCTTACCCCACATACAGCAGCCTGCATCATGGCATCCAGACTCCCTTCAGGAGAGTCCAGGTTCCCAGAAATGAACTGTTCTGCCACTTTTTTCTTGAACTCATCCTCGCGTGGTGTCATACGAAGCACATGTCTGTAGCCAAAGGCAGCCTGGCACTGGTTGTCACTCTCATCGCATGGCCTCTCCAGTTTTTCTTTGTTGGTGTTGGTGTAAGGAAGGACTGTCTTGTCAACAAAGGCACCAAATCCTGTAATTATAGAAGAAGTTCACCTTTTTTTTGGTAGTTAATGTAAGAGAGAAGGAGAAAAGAGGTAGAAAAAAATGTTTAGTGCCCTCCCTCTGTCAAAATTTCTGACATATCGGTTGTCATCTTCATCAAGTATTTCTTTTGTTTGAACAAGTATGAAATTTGATCATGGCTCATTAATACATGTTGATTAGCGGTCCTTTCTACACTGCTGAGCTGCTCAAAAAATCCTTGTTTGGAAAATGAAGTACACGTCACTCATGTCAGGTACTGACGAGTGGGTTCAGACCACATACCACGCTGCCGGACTTCTCCGTGTAGCTGCAGCTGAAATCAAACAGTGTGCACTATATCCTATCACACCAGCAGGTAGAACAGGGAACTGCAAACTTTCCTTCAAAGCTAAGTTAATGAAACATTCGAAAGCCCTATTTTAATATATTAGAACGGAAAACACTGACTAAGTTGGATTTTTTTCTCCATACCCTGCTTTCAGCCTGGAGTCCCTGTCCACCAGAAAATATTTATTGCTAAGTAATGTGTAAAAGCTATGGGTGCATTCTAATGTGCTATTAAATAACAAAATCAAAACAAGTTACTAATATTCACACTGTTGGTTATTACCTATTTGAGCACGTTCAGTGATTTTACTCAGGGCAGCAAAAAGATCTTGCCCCAGTTCTTTGACATTTGCCAAGTCATCTTTCATGGAATTAGAAAGGTCCATCAGGTAGTAGAGATCCACTGGATACCCCTCAGCTCTTCTAAAAGAAACTCTGAATGTGGTTGGAAGCCCTGTAAAGATAGATGAGAAAGAAACTAATAAAAAAAAACTAAAAATAAGACAAGAGACACTACAATGCTCATCTATGCAAAATACAATATACAAATAATTATAGCAAGTTCCATGGCACAAAATTTATACAATCACTTTTTTAATGTTGAATAGAAAACATATTGCTTTTCAGAATGTATTTGTTTTTTGTTTTTTTTCCAAATCAAGAGTGATCATCTGGTATAAAACTGCTCTGGCTCTGCGGTAATATGGAAGAAACATTGCATTCATTAAATCATATAAGGTCAGCATTAGCTGTTTTGACTAACCAGGACGCAGTTTCAGGTTTATCTGCTGAGGACTCATCTGGACTGGTTCCCCATGGTCAAATGACACAGACAGGGGATCTTCCTTCATAATGGTTAAACTGTTTACAGGGGAGATAATTTCTTCCTCCTTGCAACCTCTTCCCATCAATTGAGCTTGGGTGTCACAGCGTACTGCTTCCTGTTCACCTGCTTTGGTGAAATTCTGAAAGGTAGACAAAAACAGATAGAAAATTGTTCTACTATAGTTATAACACGTTGACTCACCTATGTCTGCAAATATTGTTGTCACAATGCAAGCCTGAGGGCAGGGCTCTGCACAGTATCTTAGCTGCTCCAAGAACAGCACTCTTCTGGAAAGAGATCTCAAATGTTGTTCCTGGGATCTGCTGAAGCAACTCTCTCTCTGTTTTGAGGTCACAGCCCCAAGACCTCCAATCACCACTATTACCTGCACTTTCCACATCTTTTCTAGCTCCTCCCTCAGCCCTTGGTATTTTTCAAGCCTCTCATGTTCCTTCTTTCTGATGTTACTGTTACTTGGGAGTACTACAACTATCACCACTGCCTTCTTTCGTTGTTTATCAACCACCACAATGTCTGGCTAATTGGCCACCACAAGTTCATCAGTCTGGATTTGGAAGTAACACAAGATCTTGGCTTGGTTGGTCTCTATCACTTTAAAACATGGCTTCCAGACACACTTAGAATCCTGAGTGGTAATACAGACAGAACAAAATATTACACAGACTCCACTGTACAGCCCTGCTGAGGAGCAGGCTCGGTCTAAGCTCTCCTAATTGTATTAAATGTAATTCAGAAATCGGTACATATACACACACGTTTTGGAAATGTGGCAAAATACAAAATTTCTGGTCTGAAGTGAAGGTTGAAGTTATTAATTTGATGGGATATGACTTGGCGCTCTCCCCCTTGCAGTGCATTTTGGCAGCGAAAGTAGACAATGCTAAGGACAAATACAATCCTAAACTGATTCAAATTCTGGATATCAAAGGACAGCCCTACTGTGGAGGATTGTTTTAGGAGGTCCTTAGAATACTCCCTCTGGAGGAGCTGACCTACACCCTTCATGACAATACTGAAGGATTTATTAAGCTATGGCTACCTGTCCTGGACAACGTGGACATTATGGACCCATTCTAGTCTTGACCTATTAGGTCAACGCTGTTCCAGTCAATTTGAAAAACAATGACACCGTGGTGGTGTAGAGGGGTGAACATCTTGTTTGTGTGTGTGTTGTCATTTTTAAACTTTAAAAAAAATAAAAATCTTGTTATTTAATCTCTGTTTGCTTGCTTGTTTGTTTGTTTGCTTTTTGATACCTGCTGTATGTTCATGCCTGTTCAATGGTTAAAAAAAAAATGTGGGAAAACAAGGTTCAGCTTTGTATGTCACTGTACGAGGTGAACCCAAGCGGAGAGCACACAGACACGGCAGAGACAGGACGTGGTTTCACCGAGGTTTATTTGCACAAAAATATAAATGAACTGAGAGCCAGGAACAGGGACAAAATGAACTGAAACTCACTAACGGCTGGGTGGGGGGGCAGACAGGCTCCTGGGGACTGGCAGTCCGAGAAGTGCACGCCAATGGAGAGGGTGGGCAACAGAAAGGTGGGGACCCTGACAGTACACTTACATTCTTCAATATACAAATACAATTAATCTGCCATCTGAGATCACTGCAAAAGGGAAAATCACGTGATGAATTGGGAAGATGCGAGGATCATAGGGACTGAGGAGCACAAATACAGGCGCTGGATCTGGGAGGCTGTTGAAATTAGGAAGCAAGGCTCACATACAATCAACAGAGATGATGAAGCGTTCCTTCTATCCCACACCTGGGACGCGCTGCTCCAGAGGCCACTGAGCAACGGCAGGTGTGGCCAAACTGACACACCCACTAGATCTGTCAGATTGGCCACACCTAGGAACAACAGCTGATAACCAGGTGGTGATCAGTTGACAGCTCTACTTCTCTCTTCACCCAAATGTCAAGGTCAAGGTCAATTTTATTTCTATAGCACATCTAAAAACAACCAGGGTTGACCAAAGTGCTTTACAGACTTATAATCAACACCAAAAGAACGTATATGAACAAACAATAAAAACCACACACATATACACTATATTGCCAAAAGTATTCGCTCACCTGCCTTGACTCACATATGAGCTTAAATGACATCCCATTCCTAGTCCATAGGATTCAATATGACTTTGGTAAACCCTTTGCAGCTAGAACAGCTTCAACTCTTCTTGGAAGGCTGTACACGAGGTTTAGGAGTGTGTTTATGGGGATTTTTGACCATTCTTCCAGAAGCGCATTTGTGAGGTCACACACTGATGTTGGATGAGAAGGCCTGGTTCTCCGTGTCTGCTCTAATTCATCCCAAAGGTGTTCTATCGGGTTGAGGTCAGGACTCTGTGCAGGCCAGTCAAGTTCTTCCACACCAAACTCTCTCATCCATGTCTTTATGGACCTTGCTTTGTGCACTGGTGCACAGTCATCCTGGAAGAGGAAGGGGCCATCTCCAAACTGTTCCCACAAAATTGGGAGCATGGAATTGTCCAAAATGTCTTGGTATGGTGAAGCATTCACAGTTCCTTTCACTGGAACAAGCCCAGCTCCTGAAAAACAACCCTACACCGTAATCCCCTTTCCACCAAAGTTTACACTTGGCACAATGCAGTCAGACAAGTACCGTTCTCCTGGCAACCGCCAAACCCAGACTCGTCCATCAGATTGCCGGATGGAGTAGCGTGATTCGTCACTCCAGAGAACGCGCCTCCACTGCTCTAGAGTCCAATGGCAGCGTGCTTTACACCACTGCATCCGACGCTTTGCATTGCACTTGGTGATGGCTTGGATGCAGCTGCTCTAGCATGGAAACCCATTCCATGAAGCTCTCTGCGCACTGTTCTTGAGCTAATGTGAAGGCCACATGAAGTTTGGAGGTCTGTAGTGATTGACTCTGCAGAAAGTTGGCAACCTCTTCGCACTATGCGCTTCAGCATCCGCTGACCCCGCTCCGTCAGTTTACATGGCCTACCACTTGTGGGTGAGTTGCTGTCGTTCCCAAACACTTCCATTTTCTTATAATACAGCTGACAGTTGACTGTGGAATATTTAAGAGCGAGGAAATTTCATGACTGGACTTGTTGCACAGGTGGCATCCTATCCCAGTACCACGCTGGAATTCACTGAGCTCCTGAAAGCGACCCGTTCTTTCACAAATGTGTGTAAGAACAGTCTGCATGCCTAGGTGCTTAACTTTATACACCTGTGGCCATTGAAGTGATTGGAACACCTGATTCCGATAATTTGGATGGGTGAGCAAATACTTTTGGCAATATAGTGTATATGCATCCAGGATGTCAGTGCCCGATCGAGGTGAAAGCCATCAAGTAGAGGTGGGTCTTAGCGGAGACTTAAAAGTTTCAGCAGTGTCCAAGATATACGGCCGCAGGTCTGATGTGATGACTACAAAGTCAATCATTGACCTTTTTCCTCCACTGGGCCCCAAGGCTGGGCCACCAGACGCTTTCCGGTGAGCTCCCCCCCAGACCTGGCTCCAGGAGGCCCTGGTCTCCCTAGGTGGCGGCTTTCCTCTCCTCTATTTTCATTGAGGTTCTGTGAATTGCTCTTTGTCTGGTCCCTCTCCAGAACCAATTTGCCTTGGGAGACCCTACCAGGGGCTAGTGCCCTGGACAACATAGCTCCCAAGATCACAGGGACACTCAAACACCTCCACCGGGATAACGTGGCAATTCATCAATGGATTCAACTCAAGAATTGAATCTATTAGAATGAATATACTGCCTGGACTGTTCCATCTATTCCAAATTTACCAATAGAAATTAGCCAAAACCAGTTTAAAGACAGCGACGAAACCATCTGGCATAGGTTCATATTTGGTTGAATTGTTTAAAACAGCTTACCAGTCATGCTTATACAAGGGTTTGTCAAACCTTAAAACCTTATTCAACTACATATATTAAAACAAAATGGGAGAAGAAGGAGGGATAACTATATCTGAAGAGAAACAGACAACAATATGGAAGTATCAATGGAAGTGTATGAGATCACACATGTGGAGGAAGTTTGGTTGGAGAAACCTCATCAGGTATTTTATCACATCCTATCAGAAATCACACTATGACAGGAGTCTTCCTGTCTGCTGGAGAGATTGTGGGAATCAGAATGCAAACCATTACCATGTTTTCTGGGATGGTCCTGGCATTAGAGGTTATTGGAGAAGGATTCATGATGCTCTACAAGATATGTTTAACTGTGAAATTCCCCTTGAAAGTAAGGTTTTATATTTTGGCTACATACAAGGAGATTGGTTTAAAAAGGACAAATACTTAATGAATGTGTAGCTGGTGGCTGCTGAAGAGACTGTCACATGAAGTGGCTATCACAGGAGAGCCCGACTTTGAACGAATGGATGGACATCATGATGGATATTTATAAAATGGAGAAAATGACAGCCTTTGTCAACCATAAACTGGAACAATTTGTTTTCCAGTGGGAAAAATGGTTAACTATGCAATAGTCCTTAGACCAAATTTTACTTTTACTTTTTAACCAGTGATGGTATTGTTATAATAAACCACTCCCTGTCTGTAGACAGTTGTTGTTTTGTTTGTCTTGCTTTATATTTAATTATTTGTTTGTCTGTCTGTCTGTTTTTTGTTTCTAATAAAAAGTTCATTTAAAAAAAAGAAGGTTAAGACCCTACAACATGATTTATGATTGTCAATTTACCTGAATCATGGTTAAAACCTCATACAGTTAAATCAAATACGAATGGACCTGACCTATTCACTCAACAGCAAGAGGTTCGCCATGAAAATATCAATTGTTTGACACAATAATCAGGTGTGCATTTTGTTATTTTTTTCAGGGGAGGTCAGACTGCCTCAACAGTGTGCTAAAGGGGACTGCAGTGGCTGAAAAGATGAGCTCTATGTTGATGGAAACACATGAGTAGCATATAGATGTAACATAACCCTTGTTTCTCACCAGCTGCTGGCACCATGCGCAGTAAGGCCCAGATCTGATGCAGTCAGAGCAGGAGTTGATCACTGACTTTGAGCAGACTTCCTCCTGTTGACACATCCCTGTAAAAAAACAGACAAATAGAGCAAGGACAAGGACAAGGAGAGACAGACTAAAGGAAAATTCATGTTTATAAAATCTCTCAGAGGTAGTGTGGTTGTGTTCACGTGGACCTTATTCATGATGCGTTCAACTTAAAAATCATCCTTTACATCATTGCACAGTAGCTGATTGCCACTGGTACTCCTGATTGTGGCATTGCTTGGTAATGGATCAAAGTGTATTTTGCCCAATAGCTTGACTTTTTTCAGAAAAGTTCCTCAGGGAGATATTAAAAACTTTTACTTAGCTAAATATAACTGTTTGGAATGCTCATTTCAACTTCACTGAATTATTTGGAGAAACAAATACAAAAAAGAGAGATCACAATCATATCAGATTAACAGTATCATGAAAAATCAAACTATATTAAATAAATGCAATTTCTAATCAAGTAGAAGGCAATCCCTGTCATAGTCCAATTCAGAGTGTTGTTAACAAAAGGGCACACATTTATTGTCATTGTTTTTTTTTTTAATATATATATATATTTACTTTTTTCCAGTGTGTTTTTTTTCTGACAAGGCTTTACAGGTTCAAAAACAAAGTTCCCTGTCACACTGCAATGGAAACAGACTATTTCCTCAGTCGAACAGTCATATTTTGTGTGAATTTCTCCACTGTGAGATAAATAAAGGCATATCTTATCTTATCTTATCTTATTTTCTTTTGCCCTTTTGTTAATTAAAGGTTTTTCCACCCAGTGACAAAACAAAATTTCACACATACATAAATTTCAATAATTGATTAATTAGGAAAGTAACATTTAAACTTTTGAGATTTAAAAATAAATAATATAGTCTTTTCGTTTTATAGCTTACCATTTCTACTCAGCGGCAGAAGCAGAAGTAACAGCAAATAATGATCCATGTTCTGATGACAAAACAATAAAAGACATTATTGTTTTTAGTGTTACATTTGATCAAAAAAAGCATTTCCAATTCTATTTTTAAATCTCACATTTAAACTCTAGCCCGGATTTGATGAAAGAAGTAGACTCACTGATTGACAAAAACAGTTTGCCATTCACAATCTATTGGCAAAAAGAAAAGAAAAAAGGTAATTTCACTGCTCTTATCTCCATGAAGACCACATTAGTCCAGGTCTAGATAAAAACATTAAACTCCTCAAATTTAGACAAAAAAAACAAACAAAAACCTGTTTAAACTACAGCTGGGACTTTAAAGTGTTAGTTTTGATTAATTAATTAATTAATTAATTAATTAATTAATTAATTACAGAAAACATAATGCATTTAATCGCATCTTTCTCAATTCCCTAATTTCTGGCACATCAGTAACAATGATGCCCACACTCCAGCCTGTAGATGGCGCTAATGCACCTAATGTTCATTTGCCAGAATAGGAGAAGAAGATGTACAGGATGCACCATAGCCTGTATAAAAGATGGACGTAGCAACCAGCCCTGAAAAATGAAACCAACCCGGAAGTGTCAGAAACCTGCAATATCACTACGTCCGCTAGTTGCTGGCTCCAAAAAGCCCTGGCTCCCATAGAAATGAATTGGAAAAGAAGTGATCACAGATCACCAAATACTGCATTCCTACAGCTCAGGATTTTTTTCTTATTAGTTTTCATAGTCAAATCCAGAGATCAGGTGGCCAATCTGAAAATAAATGAACACTGGTCAACATTTTGCGGGGCAAGGGGCGTGGCTGGCTTGATTGACAGTCGGCAGCAACGATGCAGACGAAGCGAGAAGAAGGCCGTAAATGTGGGCGGGCAGAGAGGGCCTGCCTCTCAATCCATCTGACCAATCACTGCTCCTATGGCTCCGCCCCCCTCTGACGATTTTTGCGTCACTGGCTCCAAAAATCCAAGATGTCAACCAGGAAGTATCAAAACCCTGGCTTCATTTTCTCAGTGCAGAAACCAACAGGTGACATCACAGTAGCTACATCCATCTTTTATACAGTCTATGGGATGCACTGAGTGCACAAGAAAGTTTGAATAGTGATGGAAGACGAGACCACATTGCTTGGCTTGTTGGGTGTGAGTGCATGATGGTCATGAAGCTGTAACCGCAGGCAGCTACTGTGTCAACCACACAGGTGGAAAGTAGTACTTTGGTGTACTGCAGTATTTACGTTTAGAATTACTGTGTTCTTGTGAAAAACGGAGTGCATGAAGAAAAAATCCCTCTGTTTCATCTTGGACTAATGTGACACTAAAATGCCCTGGTTTACTCTTTTCAAGGTCTTTTTGGTCGCACACTTGTCTGAGCACAGCACAACCTGCAATGTGGGGCGTTTAGGGAACATCGGGAAATTGTGGAGTCTATCGATAAGAAAATGTTCAGCAAGTTATATGTTTTGCCTGTGGGATGTGCGACCAAATGAGAAAGTGCTACCAGTGAAAGAAGTAATTCTGGAGCCCTGGCTGGGCGGAAAGTTTTGTATTTTTTTTTTTTTTAATTCTTCTTAAAAAAAAAATTTTAAGTCTACAGTGCTACCTCAATGCAAAACATGTTGCCGCAAGCATGGATGGACACCAGAGCTAACGTTAGCTGCAACAGTCCTGGTACAGGCAATAACTGTACTTTGAGTTTGCACTAATCTGTGAATGTAGCAGACAGATGAAAAATGCACATTTTTGTCATCTAAGTTCACATACACGTCTGTTCACTGATTCAGCCGTCCACCAAGATTTATTTGAATTGAAAAACTTTGCTTATTGTGTCAAATATTGCTATGCGATTAAAATGCAATTAATCAAGATTTATTAATTACAAAGCCTCTAATTGATTAGATTTTTTTTTCTTTTAAATCGCATCCCACCACTAGTTTAAACACAATTATCAGATTTGTGAGACTTATTCTATTTATGATATGGTCTGTTGATTTCTGTCATTTTCTTTCTTTTTCAAGCTTAAGCTGTTAAATGCTTGCACAAGATGTGAAGTGTACCTCTGGCAGTTTGCCAGAAGAGGGAACACTACTACCAGTCATCCATCCATCAATCATCTATACCGCTTAACCCTCTCTGGGGTTGCAGGGGGCTGGAGTCTATCCCAGCTGACTCAGGGTGAAGGCAGTTTCACCTGGACAGGTCATATTGTTGTTGTTGTGTACACATGTACAAACGTTTGTTTGTTCTTGCTAAAATCAATAAAGATACTGTTGGGCGAAGAACATGTCAACTAGTTGTACCACATCTTGACAAGCTGCTATTGCAGTTATTGAGTTCATGTTTACAATTTCACAACATACATCTCAACACAATGGGTTAATACTCTTGGTTAATTAATGCAACCACTGCAACTTAAAAAATATTTGATTTTCAAATTTCAAAAGTCCTTGCAGCATCATACAATCAGGTGACTACCTATAAAAAAGACGATCATTTGGTTGATGTGTGTGATACATCTACCAACTATCGGAAGCTGGCTGAACAAAACTGAAGAGGAATTCAAATGTTTCCTGTACAAAGAGGCTTGTGTTGCACAAAGTGCCTACACTGCTCACCATAAAAGGTAGAAGAAAAGAGCGAAGTGGTGACTCATCAGTACATTTCCGTTTTTCTAACTCTAAAACTAAAAACTCAGACAAGAAAGGGAATGCATTTATCTATGTTAGTTTCTTTGTTAATTGTACTGCTGTTTTGTTAAAACGACAGGTTGACATTTTTACAGAGTGCAACACAGCACACTAGCCCAACAGCACTTTATTAAATGAGATTTAAGTTAGTTGAATGTTGAGGTGATAAAAGGGTTGTTATTGTATCAGAACCATCACAGTGCATGGTGTAGTCTGATACAGCGCTGCTATCTGGAGACTGCCCATGACATCATACATCTCCACTAATGAACTTATAGAAAGACATTTTTTATAAAACACTTGTACATGAAATGCAGCTGTATGGGCGAAACTAAATTTAAACCACATCAAATCTTAACTTTGCCATTTTTAAACCTAAAAAAAGTACATTGTAACTCTAAAAACACTTTTGTATCACACACCCAATCTAACTTCCGTTTTAGTACATGTGTGTTTTCACAAGGTGCTACTATTGTTTGCCAGGCATCAGTAAACTTAAAGAGATAAGAATGGGTACCCCTATAGCTCACCAAGTTGAGCAGGCGACCCATAAACAGGGGCTTCAGTTAGCTAGCTGTACTTCCCTGATGCAGCGGTTGTGGGTTTGACTCCCACTCATGAGCCTTTGCTGCAGGTCTCTTTCCATTCTTCTCCCTTCTTTCCTGTCACTCTCTACTGCTTTGAATAAAGGCAAAAAGTCCAACATATATATCCATATATATCCATCCACCCCATCCATTATCTATACACCGCTTAATCCTCACGAGGGTCGCGGGGGGGCTGGAGTCTATCCCAGCCGACTTAGGGCGAGGGAAGGGGACACCTGGACAGTGCCCTCCATAATTATTGGCACCCCTGGTTAAGATGTGTTCTTTAGCTTCTAGTAAATTCAGTTTTTTTCTGAATAATATAGGACCCTAATGAAAAAAAAGAGGAAGATTCAACCTTTAATTCAAGTGCATTTATTCAGTGTGAAAAAAATCCCACATTAAAAAATAATTCTTTTACATCAAATCATGTGTGCCACAATTATCAGCACCCTTGATGTTAATACTTTGTACAACCCCCTTTCACCAACAATTCATTTGAGTTGAGTTGAAGGTTAAATTTTTCTACAATTTTCAGTGTAAGAGGATGCTTCTGCAATAAAAACTGAATTTATTTTAAGGCTTTTAACACATCTTAACCAGGGGTTCCAATAATCATGGAGTGCGCTATACACACACACACACACACACATATATATATATATATATATACACACACATATATGTGAAGAATAAAAATGACAGTAACCACAACAAATGGCTATAAGTCCCAAAAGCAGCGTATGATAGATTTAAAATCCAGTATGACAAAAACTCTTGACTACTAAGCGAACCTGCCAGGGATATTCACTGAAGCATATACAGGCGCAGTTAAAGAAAAAAATAATACTGTAGAAAAGTTCATTTTTGGGGAAATTTAATTTAAAAAGACAAACTTTCATATATTCTATATTTCTTTGCATGTAAAGTGAAATATTTCAGTCCTTTTCCTGTTTTCATTTTAATGCATACGGCTTGTAGCGAATGAAAATCTGAAATCTAGTGTATCAAAGTATTAGAATACTTCAGAAGATATTTAAAAAAGAAGGATTTACAATACAGAATTGTTCAGCTTTTGAAAGAAAGTAGAATAATTTATACAATCAATACATGGTTCGGGTTCTTTTACCACAAACTACTGCATCAATGCAGCGTGATATGGAAGCCATCAGTCTGTGGCCCTGCTGAGGTGGCATTAAGGGCCAGGTTGCTTTGATAGCGGCCTTCAGATTGTCTGTATTTTGGGGGTTGGGTGATCTGAGAGAAGCAGTGGTCCCCAACGTCAACAGAAGAAAAATGGGCCAAAAAAAGTTGCAAATTCTATACCTGATTGGGAGTGTGAGAAGTCCAGTGATGGCTAGATATTGGTTCTCAATGGTATCTAGCTCCTCAGGGAGAAACAGGGAATGACATTGAGGGTACAATGCGATATGTGAACCAGACATGTTCATTCAATATGGGAATGTGGCACTAAGGAACACTTGGAAGTTTATGTCACTTACTAATGCACCAGATAAAAGATGTTCCAGCAAGTTCCGTGCTGGGGCATTTTCCCGCCCTAGCAGCTAGCAATATGCAGATGTAGACACCAATAGAAGCTGGAAAAGGTAAAACAATGTAGTGTGCAGTGAGGATGATGGCTCCTTATCTCCCAGATCAGCCTTTTCATGATTCATGTGAGTTTAATCTGATATGGCAGCTGTCTGATCCACATTGGCTAAAACCAACACTTTGTGTTCCCTCAAAGAGCCCCCAATTGAATGAATATTCACTAGTTTTACTATTTCCTATTAGAAGAACATGTGCTTCGCCACTGTAAGAGGAAGTCATAAAGAACTGACAGGTATTACCGTGACAGAATGATCACCTGGGAGGTTAGAACCAAAGCGGAAAAAATGGAAGCAGAGACATGCTGGGCAGTCAGTGTAACTACCTCCTTCTGCAGTAGCATGTGTAGCCTCAGTTTGCTCTATGGTGAGACAATCAAAAACTTGAAGAGACAGACATCAGGTTGAGAGTTTGGGGATAAGACACCGAATTTGACGAGGTAGGGCCAGCCCAGTAACAGCTCTCAGCGAGGTAAATTGTATGGGAAAGGGGCAGAATATGTTCCTTTCATGACTGCCAGGCCTGAGGTGTGTGTGTGTGTGTGTGTGTGTGTGTGTGTGCGCACACGTGGTGACTGTTAAAGCCATTGCATTTGATTCACAGAATTTTCACGCTTATTAATAGTAATGATAGTTTTGCTGACAACATATCAGCGTCTTTA